GCACAGCAGGCAGCCCACCACGCTGCCCAAACCCCAAGGGAAGCAAAGCCACGTCCAATGCTTCGTCTCCAGGCGTGGGAGGATGGATGGGAGCATCCACCCACAGAGCCAGAGGCAGCTCCTGCCCACACAGCGCTGGCAAACACCCCATCTCAGCTACCACCACCATCTCCTTCTCCTCCAAAGGGAGCTGCCTTGCTCCAGCATGATGCAGGGACATCCCAGGTCAGTGGGGAACTGCTGGGCTGGGAACCCTGGGGAGCAGCCTCCGTGCCAGCGCTGTGCAGGATGAGGTGTCAGCTCCTCTAGGGCGGGTCAGATGGCTTCAAACACCAGCCTGTGCTTGGGGAAACACCTCAGCCAGCTCACCAGCACCTCTCAGGCCACTCCCTCCTGCATCTCAGGCACTCTCAGCTGTGGTGGTATCTGTGCCAAGCCAGCATCCACTGCAGTGCTGCTCTCATCCATGGTGAGGTGAAACAACCCTTGCTCCTGGCACAAGGATATGCTATCATTCTGGTTTCCCAAATTATCCAAAGGTGTTTGCTTGTAGGACAAAGCCCCAGGTTGAGGAGGAACAGGTGGCAGCATGGCAGGTGATGAACATCCCAGCAGCCCAGCAGCACTTGGTGTGTCCTGGGGAGGTTCCAGTGGCAGAGGGACCCACGGTCCTGCTGGTGCTGACCCCACTGCCTGCTGCTTGTGTTGTGCATGGGGTGACTCTGGACTTGAGGGGATGAGGCCACATCTTGGAATTCTGTCCTCAAGACACCTCCAGGCTGTGGCACTGTGGATACAGTTCCTACATGGGCAGTGGCAGCCAAGACAGACCCAGGCAGTGCTGGGTCCCGAAAGCTCCCAGGTAAGGAACTGGGAGGGCTCCAAGCCCTCATGGTGGCTTCTCCAGGGCCCCAAGTGCCAGGCTGCTGCAGCAGGGCAGGGGCTGCCAGGCTGGGCATGTCCCTTCCTCACACCTCACGCCCATGAGGTCACCCAACTGTCAGCCTGGGGTGAAGCAATCGGAAGCAAACTGGTGACTCAGTGAGCCAGGTCATCTCTGCCACAGCCCTGGGGAGCAGGATCCCAGAGGAGCTGCTACAGCTTCCCATCAGCGCTGCATCCATGAACACCCAGGGACACCCTGGCTCCAGCAAGCAGTTCCCCACCAGACCTCCAGGCCAGCAGCTCCCTCCTCAGGGAACAGACAGTTTCTGAGCCGACCGGTGCTGTGGGGCAGAGCAGCCCCCCCACCAGCAAAGGCTGCCAGTGGCAAAGCACAGCCCCCCAAAAAGCAGCGATTCACAGCCCCATCTGAGAGCGACCTGAGAAGCAGCAGCGCCCGCGGCACATCAGGACCGTGCCGGGGTCACATCCTGCTCTGCAGCCCCAGCGCTCCCGGGCAGCAGCCAGCAGGGAAGCTGGCGGCCACAATGGGGATGTGTGGGGTTGAGAAACTAAACCCCTTCTTGTTTTGACCCAGCAACAGCCGGCGGCAGCCCCCAGGCAGCCTCCCCACACAGCCCTCGCTGCCCCTTAATCCCTCTGCGGAGCAGCGGCACAGAATCGAGGTTAATGCCGCTGCGTCACAGGCGGCCCCGCCGCTGCCAAACCGAACCCCCACGGGCCCAGGCAGCTCCTGCCCGTGGTCACAGCTGAGACCCGGGCCAGCATCTCCCTGCACAGGGGGACCCCACGCAGGGAAATCCCCAGGGGTTCCCATGGGGCTTTTGGGACGGCCTGTGAGGGTGCTGTCCCCCTCCCCTGCCCACCCCTGTCCTCCCACAAAGACGGGCAGCACTGGCTGATGTGGCTGCGACACAGCTGCGAGCTGAGGGAAGCCTGGATGGACCCGGGAGGAGGGTTTGCAGATCAAGGAAGAGGGGATACACAGGCACCGGGTGCTGTAGCACCCCAGGAGCCCACCCCTGGTCAGCCCACAAGCATCTCTACCTCCTGGGCAAGCCCCGGGGCTGAGCAGTGGGACTCCCTGCCCGTCCTCTGCAGGACCCCTCTGTGTAAACAGCTCAGCCCTCCCAGCTCCCCAGCACACAGAGGGACAGGGAAGGAGGAAAACAAGCACCTCACAGGCTGCCAACTGCATCTAAGAGCTCCCAAAGCACCCAAACAGCTCTGTGCACGGACCACACAGCACTCGCTCTCCCCACAAGCCCCCTATGGCAGAGCCCCTCACCCCACAAAACTGCCCACCAAAAACCCATGCACAGCAGAGCCCAGCGACACCCAGAGCCCACCCAGAGCCCAGCGCCGTCCCCTCCAGCCATTCCCCCCTTTCCCCCCGAGAAGCACCTTCTGCCGGAGCAGTTTGCTGCGCACTCTGCCCCAGAGGCGGGCGCCCGTGTTGGGGGGTCGCTTCCCCTCGGGCTCCTCCACGCCGCGCTCCGGCTGCTCGCCCACGGGGCCGGGGCTGCCCTCCGGCTGCACCAGCACCTCCGTCATCGCGATTCGGCTCCGGGCAGGCGAGACGAGCGTGGCCGGGAAAGGTGCCCGGGGCTGGGTTAGGAGAGCGCCCGCATCCTTTCTGCTGCGGGGGGAGGTCAGCGGGGGCCGGCGAGGGGAGCCCGGCTGGGGCGGCGGGGAGGCGAGCGGGCAGGGCTCATCTTCAGGGTGTGAGCCAGGCTGTCGAGGCAGCTCGGCAGCCCCAAAAGCCTCCCTCCCCCTGCGAGGAAGTGACTCAAAGGCAGCCCCCCCCCCGGCGGCCCCCACGCGTTTAACTCTCGCCCTGCCGCCCGCCGCCGCTCGGGAAGGCTGGGGGGGCTGACTGGGCTCCCCGCCGCCGTCATCCGTCGTTATCCGCTGTTATCCCTTCCCTGTTATCCGCTTCGCAGCGCCAGCGGCAGTCGCGGCCCCGGAGGCATCGCCGCTGGTGGCTGCAGCATTCCCGGCTCCGAGAAGGAGCCAGGCTGGCTCTCCTGCTCCCACTAAGTGGCACAGGGATGGGACTTTTGGGGTCTCCTGTCAGGCGTAGGGATAAGTGGGGACCTACCATGGCCCCTCAGAGTACCCTGGCCCTTGTCAGCCCCACTGCCAGGGGGTGATGCGGGCAGGGGGATGGAAGCCCTGAAGAGTCCCTGCCTGCTGCTTCTGATAGGCAGGAACATGGGGAGGTGCAGGCTTGGGGGGCACTCGCACTGCCCCCCAGTTCATCCCTCAGCAGCCCCAGGAGTCCATATGGGTCACCCCGTGGATCCCTGCAGGTCTGGCGAGCCCCAACACCACAAATCTCCCCCTCCAGAGCCTCCGCCAGCGACAGACAGACGGACAGGCAGCAATTCCCTGAGGGTACAGCAGGCACCGTGCCCATGACAACACAGACTCTGCTCCAACAGCCACATCCCCCTGTGCATCAAACGGGCTGAGAAAAGCGCTGCCCCATCACCCTGAGGCCCTCCCTTCATGCACCCACCGCCCACCTCCTCACACGCCCCAGCCTCTCTCCTCTGCAATATGGGCACAAGCACTCACAGCCTGCTTTGCCCACCCCAACATCCGTCTGCCACCCTGCCACAGCGCCACACACCCCTGCCAGCACCCACCAGACACAGACCAGCTGCTGGGAGCAACTGGGACAGCTCAGAGCAAGGCTGAGCCCTGCAGCACAGGGGACACAAGCCCCCTACGGCAGCTCTACCTCGACCACAGCACGTTCCAACCTTAGAAACCCCAAACAAAACAGGGTTAACAACAACTAAACAGGGTTAATGCCAACCAGGATTCATGCCTTTCCACCCTACAGCCAGTGGCACAGCACGGGGTGCCCACCCTCCACCAGCAACAGGGACAAGGCTCAGGGTAGGGGTCCAAGGCTCACCACACTGCAGACCCCTAAGGGCTCATTGCCAGGATGCTTGAGAGGAGGTTGGTGCCAACCCCAGCCACTCCATGGACCCAGCCATGTCCTCTGTGCTGGCAGGACGTGACTCCCACCCATGGCATCTCTGCAGCCTTGGGAGGCCCCCACTGCCCACACAGAGGGGCTGCAGCAACCCCCTCACACACTGACCCACTCCCACCAGTCCATGGTGCTGATAAGCTGCTTTTGTGACCAACCCATGTGCCTGCGTGGCCAGATTAGAGCTGGGCAGTGGGCACAGGGCTGGCTGCTGGGGGGGTGCAGCCATCCTGGCAGCCCCCAAAACACCGCGGACCTTTGCCAAGCTCCTGATGCCAGTGCTGGTATCTGGAACCAGCAGCAGCTCATCATGAGCCCAGAGACCAGACAGGGTAAGGACCACCCAGGGCAGCACCTCTGCCTGAACAGCTCAGGGAGAGGGCAGGGGGGCAGCACTGGGGCTTGGCCACAACCCACAGACCCACTAGTAGTGCTGCCCATTCTGCTCGTAGCTGTCCTGCCCTGCCACCCACTCCACCCCAGAGGCAGAGACAAGCTGAGGCTCTGGGTGACAGCAGGACAGCCCCAACCCTGAGACTGCTCCATCTAGCCAGGCCCTCCTCGGGATAAGCAGCCCCAGGGCCTTCTCTCTCTCCCTTCCTTCCCCCACGACTTCTGCACAGCGGGTACGAGCTGTGCTGTCCCTGTCCCGACCCCCGCATCTCCCAGCATGACTCATGTTTGTTGATCCAGGCTATTTCCGAGAGCACAGCTGGACTGATCCCCGCGGGACATCGAGCCCCTTCCCTGCCCCGGCCCTCCTGCTTGGCCCAGTGCCATCCCCACACCACTTGTTTCCCAGAGGGAGGGCAACAGATGGGTGATTTCAGGTAAGAACAAGCCACTGGTGAAGCCAAGCCCCCATCTCCCACCCTGCTGGTGCTGTCCCCCACAGCATCCCCTTCCCAGCAGAGTTTCCATGCTGCTCCCCACTCCCCTGGGACCTGCCCTCAGTTGCTTTCCCACGGAGCAGGCAGCCACACTGGGCCCTTTGAAGTGGCCTGGGGTTGAGGGCTGTGTCCCAAGCTTGACACTGTCCCCAGCACAGCTGGGAAGGCAGCCAGCCTGGTGGTCCCCACCAGGAAAACACAGGGGCACCCCCATCTCAAACCATCCTCTGCTGCCCTGGGTGTCCCTGCAGCCTGGCCAAGGTGGGTGCTGGGGGAATGAGGGCTCTGGGGGCTGCCTGGCCCTCACTCCATCCTCCCAGACCTGCTCACCTGGGAGCATCTCAGGGCAGCCCAGGCCTCCATCCTTCCCTGCCTGGCAACCACCAATCAGAAGCAGCTCAGTCGTTGCCCTGGAAACCCCCGTTGCTATAACAGCAGCTGATGGAGGCACAGGGAAGGCAGATGGTGGCAGAGTGGGACAGGGGAGGGATGGGGGGCTGCACGCTCAAAGCTCTCTCTGGGGCAGCTGCCAACCCCCTCTCCACAGCCCCCCAGGCCCACAGCACAGGAGGCAGTGGAACAGAAACACTTGAGCCCAGCTGGGACTGGATGCACATCTTGGGGGGCAGGTCTGGCTTTGCCACCTCTGCAGGACTCCTCATTTTGTTCAACCTCCTCCTGCAGCCACTGTGCCCCAGGACCATCATCCACATCCCTGATGCCCACCAACCTCACTGCCTTCAATCCCACAATCCCTGTACCCCGTTCCCAAAAGCAGATTTGCCTGTCCATGCTGCCAGGCATAACTCTCTCATCCCAGGCATAACTCTAGAGCAGCCTTCCCAGCTCTGGCCTCAAGAGGTTCACTGCTGGGTAAGAAAATGCCCCAAAAGCCCCAGCACATACCTGGATCTGCCCTTTGCCCATGATCTTGTCCACGATTTCATTGTTGTCCTTGTTGAGTTTGGTCTTGTCGTAGCACTTCTCGTAGCAGAGGATGCGTAGGGACTGGGAGCCCTCCAGCTCGATCTCGAACTCCTGGGGTGCAGAGTGAGGGTGGCTCAACCCCAGCACCCCAGAGCAGCTCCAAAACTGGGGTTGAAGGGAAATGGGGAGTGCAATCCCCTGCCTGCATCCCACCCTCCCTCACCTCGTTCCACTGTGGCTCTGTGGTGTCCCGGAAAACCCTGGTCTTGGCTTTGCTGACGAAGTAGCCGAAGGAGTCCACCTCCAGCGTGCAGTAAAGGTCTGGGGGAGCAGACACTGCTCAGCACCTGAGGAACATCCCCACCAGCTCCCCGGGGACCACAGAGTGGGGCCACATGCTGGACCCCAACTCTTCCGATCACACCGGCCCCTCGGAGCAGGGGGGGCACCCACACTTACTGGCAGACTGCTTGAAGCCCTTGGCAGAGTGGACAATGACGTGCAGGAACCCGTAGAGCCCAGGGGACTCATCATCTATGATGGGAGAGCAGAGGCTGTGTCAGGGCTTGGCTGACACCTCTCATGCCCCAGGGCTGTCCCCAAGGCAGCCTTGGCCACAGGAAGTACTGGGTACCTGCAGTGACATCCAAATGTCCCCAACCCCCTTGAGGGCTGTCCCTAAGTTCTGTATTCCCTGCCGACATCCCAAGCTCTCCTGCTGCTGGACAGCCCTGGGGGAGGTTCCCAGTAGTGCTGGCTGGGTCTCACCCTGGGGACACTCTGGTTCTGCCCAGCCCACTGGGGTTCTGGAGAGACTCCAAAAGCAGCCTCGTGCTGCAGCTGGGATGGCTCTGCCTGGGAACCCGACGCTGCTCCAGCAGTGCCACCTGGTGGGAAGCTGTCCCCTGCACACCACGGTCCCCAGCAGGACCCAGTGGATACTCACCATCCTTGTTGCTGGTGACCGGGATGTTGTGGACAGTGCGTAGCTTGAAGCAGGATCCTGTGAGCACCTGGAGCTCCACTGAGCTCAGGACAAAGGCCTGGAGGTCTGTGAGAGGACAGGAGAGGAGCTTCAGAGGGATGCAGCCAGTGTTGGCCATGGGAACTGGCAAGCAGCAGGCTGGGATCCTGTGGGACCTCCCTGTGGCCCCTGGTGGAGCCAGGAACACCATGAGGGCCTCAGCAGCCCCAAATTTACCCTTTTTCTGCAGTTTCTGGATGGCCTCCCTCCACTCGGACCGCTCGTAGTCAGAGGACAGCAGGAAGAGGTAGCTCTGTAAGAGAGAGGGGGATGTGTCAGTCTGTGTGCAGGCAGGGCTGAGCCCGGCCCCCAGCCCACCCTCCTCACCTTCCCGTTGCGGTTGTGGATGCGAAAGGGGATGGCGGGCGAGTTGAGGAGCAGCCAGAATTCGTTTTCAAACATCTTCTTCTTGAGGCGCTCGATGGCCCGGCTCTGCCCCTTGTTGGCTTTCTGCAGACAGGGAGCAGAGAGGAGCTTTCACAGGTGCCCCTGGTCCCCATGTCCCATCCCCGACCCCAAGGAAGGCACCCAGCCCAGCAGCAGCTCCCACACCCTGCTCTCACCTCCTTCTGCACCTCGCTCTTGATGGCTGAGATCTTCATCTTCATGTCCTCCAGCTCATGGTCAGGGATGACGTGGACCTGCGGGCAGTGCTCCGACTCCTCCGGCGAGGGGAACACCAGGTCGGCCAGGGGCACGTACCACTTGCAGTCGTACTGCTGCTGCTTCCTGTGGACAGGGCATGGATACTGACTGATGCCTGACCCCCTCCCTGGCACATCCTCCAGCCCACTGGGGGACAGAGGATTGTGACACATTCCCCCTGTGCCCAGCACCCTCCTTACCCCACCGCCGTCTTCTTCAGCTTGGCACAGAGCAGCACGTCGGTGAAGAGGAAGACGTGCCGCAGCTTCCGCGAGCCCTCCGACAGCTCCACCAAGAAGCCATCCTTGACAAGCTGCCGGGTCTGTGGGGCAGTGGGGCTGCTCTGAGAGCGGGCAGGGAGCAAAGGGCAACCAACTGTGCGAGTGGGTGCTCCTGTCCCTCTCTGTGGCTCAGCCACCAGGAGTATGGGAAGGTCCGTGTTCTCTGGGTGCTATTTTGAGTCAATAGGGCACCAGCAAGCAGCAAGGACCAGGCAGAGCCCTAACATTGTACCCAGAACTGCTCTGGGGGTTTAGAGGAGCCCCTCCATCTCCTGGCCAAGCACCATGGAGCTCCTCAGAGTGGAGACACCAGCCAGGGGCTGGCAGAGGGCTCAGCCCTCACCCTGTGCCCTGCCACTGCCCACCTCACTGGCTCACCTCGCCCTTGGGGGTGGTGACCGCTGTCCTCCGGGGATCGATGTCCTCATTGATGCTGGACAGGAAGTTCTGCGAGATGCGGAGGGCGTCCTGGAGCAGTGGGTAGTCAGGGTGGTCGGCTGGGGTGTGCTTGAGGAGGTCCTGGAAGGGGACAGGCACAGGTGAGCAGCTGGAGAGCACCCACCCTGGCGAACCCCCATCAGCACTCCCCATGGCTGCAGGTCCCCCGGAGCAAGAGAGACAGAGCCTCCCACCCCAGGACTGGTGTCACACCCCTACCCCAGGACTGGTGTCACACCCCTACCCCAGGACTGATGTCACACTCACGTGCAGGACGAGGGTGCTCCGCGTCACCCGGTCGATGGGTTTATACAGCAGCGCTGAGGGGAGAGAGAAGGTGTCAACAGCCACCCCTCCCGGACCCCTGGCCCCTCTCCCACCCTGGTCTGCACAGAGCCCTGGGTGAGCATCTGGGATCCGTTCTGCAGAGAGCCAGCAGCAGCTGGACCATCATGTCACTGCCGGGGCAGTGGTGAGCCACCAGTGCCACAGCCCCGCTCCCTGCTGCGCTGGGGGCTTGGGGAACTACGGCCAGGCTGTAGTGGTGGTCACAGCCACGGTGACACCACTCCACCCTGACTGCTGGATGGGATGTCCCACCACAACTCTGTCAGCACATCCCCCACCCCACCATGGCAAAGGACCCCCCCGTGCGTGGTGCACCAACACCGGTGGTGGCTGTGGAGCAGAAGAGCTGCTCGTCACCCACAGCAGCTTTTTCAGTTTCCCTTTTGGCTCAGCAGTGGGTCCTATCCCTGCTCTGCCCGCTCTGCCACCCCATGGGACACCCTGTACCCACCACCCCAGCCACCCCTGGGTGCCAGGGGAACCCAGGCTGCTTCAGCAGCAGCAAAACCCCCACCTACAGAGAATGCCTGGGCCAAAGCACCATCCCAACGCCACTGCCCTGAGTCCCCTCCCCACAGCCTCCCATGACTGCATGGGAGGTGAAGCTCCATCTGGGGCAGGGCAGCAGAGCTGCTTCAAACATGGGGCACAGACCCCCCCTTTCTCCTGCCATGCAACCTCCCAGCAGGAAACCAGCCCTGGAGGCTCTTCAGAGGCACATTTCACTGGAAGCAGCCAGACCCTCCTTCTCCTCCCTGACTCTTTGGGCAGGCAAAGGCACAGAGCCCACTCACAGTGCTGCTCCCCATGCCTAGCCACTAGTGTGTTTCCTCAGGCTGGTTCCAGACAGGCCAATGCCTCTGGGTTTTCCCTTCACTTTGTAGCACTTCCCCAAACTGCCAGTGCCAAGAGGGGCCAAGTTTCGAGCTGTGGGAAAGGAAGAAAAGCTGCCACCTCCTCACCCTGTGCTGAGTTGTGGGGGGCTCCCACCCCCTTTACACCAGAGGGTGCTGCCTTGTGATGCCCAGTCCTGAGAGAGGGATCCCCATCCTGGTGAACTGGGGGTCTCTGCTCAGGAGGTGAGGATGCCAGCCTGGACCCTAAACAGAGGCTGCATCCCCCACAACTCTGTGCCAGCGGGCAAAGCCAGAGCCCCACTCCCTGCAACAGCCAGCAAGAATCCTGCTCTGGGATAGAGGGGGACAGGCAAGGCGTCCCCCCTTTCCACCACCCTACACCCAGGGGTAGGATGGACCCTCGCGCTGCCATCGCTACAGGCACACTCAGAGCACTGGGGGGCACTGGGAGGGGCTATCCCGGTTCAACGGAGGAGCCGACACAGTCCCGCCAGCCCGGGACCCAGACACGGCAGCAGCAGGCAGGGGTGCCCGGCGCCTCTCCTCCCAGCCACGGAGAGACGGACATTCCAGCCCCACGGCGCTCACACCCT